TGAGCCTCGGCAAATGTCCCTCCATCAAGACCAGCCGGTGGCGGCTTCAACATCTGCGGCAGACTCAGTGGGCACCAGACCGAGGCCCCTCGGCGCCAGCGGCCACTCGCACTGCCCTAGAGCCCGCCCGGCGGGGAGGCGCCCCGGAGGCGCCCTGAGCCCTTGGGGCCGCCGGGGCCAGCAGGAGCCGCTCCAGGCGGCACTGGGTTCGGCAGCGGAGGAGCTGGGAGAGCCTTGGTCAGCGGAACCTGCGGGTGGGCAAGCGGCCCGAGCCCCAGCTGGCTGCCCGGCGCCGACTCCAGCCTTAAGTGCACACAAGGAGCGGCCCTGGCACCGGGGAGCCCCGCTCCCCTGGCTGGCTGCGCCCCGCAGCGCATATCCTGCATCTCATCCTGCGTCTCCCGCGGGTCAGAGTCAGGCCGACCGCCAGCCCCAGGAAGCGGGGCCGTAGTGGGGGTCCCACGTCCGTCCTCGGCTGTGATGGATGTGCAGGTGCCAGGGGTCGCTCCCCAGCACCCCAGTGTCCCTGGCATGACACCCGCAGGGAAGGTGAGGTGCGGAGGGGGCCTCTTGCCAGCGCCCGCCGCACGGTGCCCTGAGGTCTCCTGGCTGCTGCCCAGAAGGGGAGGGACGGCCCCAGCCCGGGAGCGGCAGGCGCCCGCGTCCTGCGGAAGGCTCGGCGCGGCCCAGGCTCGGCCAGGCTCGGCTTGGCGTGAGCAGGGTTCTGTTCCGGGACCCGTCACACCTTAGAGCTGCCTCCCTCTCGGGGCTCTGGGGTCACTGGCCCGGCCCTGCAGCGCCCTCAGGGAGGACGGCGCCCCGAGGGCTGGGCCCGGGCTTCCTCCCCCGGCGCTCTGGTCCCCCACGTTCCGGGTCCTCCACCAGGTGCTTGGTCTTAAAATCTTAGACAAAAGCGACCTCCAACGTCCCATGCTTGGTGGATGGATTCCAATTTGATGTATTTTTTAAATGTCCTCTGTAGAAATCATCCTGCTTAAAGCTGTTGGTGAAAGGGCACACAGAGTCCCTGAGAGCGGCCTTAGTGGGGTCAGAGGCCCGGGCGGGGCTGCAGAGGGGCCTCCAGCCGCCCCCCAGCTGGGTCGGGGTTCTGGCGCTGCTGCTGGGCGCTGGGCGGCCCCACGCCCCACCTGGTCAGGTCTGGGCCTCCAGACGCAGACGAGCAGCAGGCCGTGCGCTGAGGAAGAGGCGCGGCGGTCAGCTCGGCCCTCCCGCCACTCTGCGGCCCTGGCCCACAGCCGCGGCGTCTCCTGTCCCTGGGGAGGGGGCCGGCCCCACATGTGATGGGCTGATGGGTGGGCCCACAGCTGGGTGTCCTCTGGCACCGTGGGCGGCGGCCCTGGAGAAGGTAGGGCCCCTCGGGCTGGGCATGGCTCTCGGGCAGCGCCCGCCCCTGGAAGGCTGCGCCTCGGGTCCGAGCCAAGTGCCCAGCCCGTGCGGGCCCCAGGTCCAGCGGCTCTGAGGCCGTTTTGCCCAGGAAGAAGATCGGCAGAACCGCCAGGGCCCTGGCGTGGGGGAGACGCGCCTTCCCACTTCGCGCCCCTCAGCTCAGCCGGGTGATTCTGGGGCCCGCAGGGAGCCCA